TGAGGTTGAGAAGCTACAGACTGTTGTGTTACGCCCTGACATATGTTATAATAACCTTGGGTGCATTTTTTGGTTGTTTTATTGCTGGTTGTGTCTTTCGGAGAATTAGTGGCTCCTGATTGCAAATTTGAAAAGGGCAGATTCGGGGTCTTAGTGCAATTTGTGATAAAAAGTTTGTAAGCTTCATATTCTAACTGATGAACGCATAGAGACACACTGTTGGCAGAGGTTTAGTGTTCCTGCAGAATTCAGCCTGAGGGTGGCGCTGTAGTCTAATGTTGATTGACAGGCTCTAAGTACACATGACACATGAATGCTGCCTTGATGTAGTATTTATTGCTTCTGAGTGTTTTTCTAGAATGTTACAAGTTGGGGAGGAAAACAGGCAAGGAAAAGAAAGTCATCTACTCTCAGAACAAACATAGAACATCAGAACTTTTGAAAGGCAATTCACATGAGAACATTTAAGCTAAAGGATTTCAATTAGTAAATGTAATATATCCTGCTCACTTTATGACATTCGATTCGAAAGAATGGAGCCGAAGGCTCTGCTCTATAGCTCTCGTGGTACTTTGATGTCATACAGCCAGTTTAGGCAGTTTAGAAATCCTGTGCTGAGCATGTCCCCGGGAAGTGGCACGTTTAGTCACCTTATTCCTCAAGCTTCTCTTTCCTGTCAGATGATCCACGGTGTTCACCAGTGAATGACTCAAGCTTTTATTTTTTCCCTTTTACATTACATTTAAATGCTTTCATTTACCATATGCTTTAATCCAGTGATGGGCAAACTTGGCCCTTCCAGGCCACTTTCCTGCAGAGATTTGATCTACACTGTAAAAAATGACCGTGAATTTAAAAGACTGTAAAAATGCTACAGTAAAAACCTGTTAAATGGTTAACAGTAAATTCCCCTACTATATATGGTGAAAAACTGTATTGGACATTACATGTATTGGACATTAATTTTACGGTAGTATACCGTTTTTGCAAGTGAAATAGGCTGTATAATTTACAGTGAATAACCGTAAATTGACATTCCCAGAATTCCCTGCGATACATTTCAAATTTGATGTTTTTTTGTTGAAATAACTATGTTTCTTCTTAGTGTTTCTTATCAGTTTTGTATATTAGGGTTGAGTGTTACACCTAATGTTGTTAATTAATGTTTATTGCATTATTTCAGTTTCATGTGTGTTACCATGATGGTGTTTGGTGTTTGTGTGAATGGCACGGCGCACCTTCTATATATGTTATTATTTAAAAGCTACTTGTGATGGGCTTTTGTTCATCATGTGACTTTCTCATCACCACCTGCATTTGGTGGTTATCAGAGTATTACAAAGGTACAAAACAGATGTAAAAACCTAAAACGTTGCTACCGTATTTTTTACGGTAAAATTCCGGTAACCACAGCTGCCGGTCTTTTACCGTAAATTTTACGGATTTTTTTTTTTACAGTGTAACCCTGATAAAACTCACCTGCCTGTAGCTTTCTAGTAGCCTTGAAGACAATGATTAGCTGGTTCAGGTGTTTGAATAGGGTTGGAGCTAAACTAAGGAAAGTGGCCTGGAAGGGCCAAGTTTGCCCACCCCTGCTTTAATCCAAAGCAATTTACAAACGAGGAACATAAGCAATATATCACAGATCATCTCAGTTACTTGTGTAACTCTCATTCCCTGGGGTTGCTCAGACCCAGTTAGGGTGGCCACACCTTTGCAGGGACAGCAGAGGGGGCTCTGCCTAGGGAAAACACGGGCTTAAAGCTATACTGTGGAAGAATACACATATGGGATCCTGTATTATAATGTTGTGTAGTCATCATCTATAACACTATAGACACAGCCAGGTTTACTCGTTGAAAATTTTAATCGTGATGAAATAATGACTTCATAATTGTATTGGAGTCTTACAGACATGTTTTACAGTTAATCTGAGTCGTGCATTAATTTGAGTGGTGACAGCTATTATGTGAGTGGCTTGATGGAGCGCAGATGCAGATAACATGATCTTGACCCTTAAGAAACTTTAATTAACGCCGTCACACAAATCTGCTTCAAAGAAAAAATTTAATGAATTGCTAATTACAACACTGAAATAAAAATGTAAAGCCTGTACAAATACTAGAAATCATGAATATAAATAATTGGGAATCATGCAAAAAAAATTAATAAAAACAGTGCACATTTCATTGATCTATTATTATATTGTGACGAATGGGGGTGGGACGGAGAGCCGTGGGAATGGAGCGAGGCCGGTGGAGTAATTGATAATGAGCTACACCTGCGCCACTCACCGGTCTCGAGTCCCACGGAGGAGCTCCGGAAGGATAAAAGGAGGAGTGACAACAGTGAAAGATGAGAGAGGACCAGGCCTGGATTTTATTTTGTGTTTTGTGTGCGGCAGTCGTCCGTGAGGGGTTTCCGCTTTACTTTCATTTTGTGTTTGTTTATTTTATTAAAGTTTTCCGGTTCCCACCTCCTTCTTCCCGTGACTACGAACTGTGTTACATTCCAAAATAAAATCCAGGCCTGGTCCTCTCTCCTCTTAGTATTAAGATCATTAACAAGCTCCTCCCGTGTAGTTTGGGGCTGGTCCCTCACCTTTCTCATGATCATCCTTACCCCATGAGGCGAGCTCCAGACCGAGGCCGATTGATGGTTGTCCTGTATTTCTTCCATTTCCGAATAATCACACCAACAGTTGTCTCCTCCTCACCAAGCTTCTTGCTGATGGCCTTGTAGCCAATTCCAGCCTCGTGCAGATCTACAATCTTGTCTCTGACATCCTTTGAAAGCTCTTTGTTCTTGCCCATGGTTGTGGGAGAGGTTGGAATGGAAGATACAGATTGTGTGGACAGGTGTCTTTACACATTAGGAGTAACTTCTTAAAGTGGCAGGACAAATCTGTGTTCCACATGGACACATAACCAGTTAGTAGGAGCCAGAATTCTTGCTGGTTGGTAGGGGGATCAAATACTTATTTCACTCACTGAAATGCAAATCAATCTCTAACCTTTATATAATGTGTTTTTTCTTGATTTTTACAGACCCTTCATTGCTTTGTAAGTGGGCAAACTTACAAAATCAGCAGGGGATCAAATATGATTAGCTGGTTCAGGTGTTTGAATAGGGTTGGAGCTAAACTAAGGAAAGTGGCCTGGAAGGGCCAAGTTTGCCCACCCCTGCTTTAATCCAAAGCAATTTACAAACGAGGAACATAAGCAATATATCACAGATCATCTCAGTTACTTGTGTAACTCTCATTCCCTGGGGTTGCTCAGACCCAGTTAGGGTGGCCACACCTTTGCAGGGACAGCAGAGGGGGCTCTGCCTAGGGAAAACACGGGCTTAAAGCTATACTGTGGAAGAATACACATATGGGATCCTGTATTATAATGTTGTGTAGTCATCATCTATAACACTATAGACACAGCCAGGTTTACTCGTTGAAAATTTTAATCGTGATGAAATAATGACTTCATAATTGTATTGGAGTCTTACAGACATGTTTTACAGTTAATCTGAGTCGTGCATTAATTTGAGTGGTGACAGCTATTATGTGAGTGGCTTGATGGAGCGCAGATGCAGATAACATGATCTTGACCCTTAAGAAACTTTAATTAACGCCGTCACACAAATCTGCTTCAAAGAAAAAATTTAATGAATTGCTAATTACAACACTGAAATAAAAATGTAAAGCCTGTACAAATACTAGAAATCATGAATATAAATAATTGGGAATCATGCAAAAAAAATTAATAAAAACAGTGCACATTTCATTGATCTATTATTATATTGTGACGAATGGGGGTGGGACGGAGAGCCGTGGGAATGGAGCGAGGCCGGTGGAGTAATTGATAATGAGCTACACCTGCGCCACTCACCGGTCTCGAGTCCCACAGAGGAGCTCCGGAAGGATAAAAGGAGGAGTGACAACAGTGAAAGATGAGAGAGGACCAGGCCTGGATTTTATTTTGTGTTTTGTGTGCGGCAGTCGTCCGTGAGGGGTTTCCGCTTTACTTTCATTTTGTGTTTGTTTATTTTATTAAAGTTTTCCGGTTCCCACCTCCTTCTTCCCGTGACTACGAACTGTGTTACATTCCAAAATAAAATCCAGGCCTGGTCCTCTCTCCTCTTAGTATTAAGATCATTAACAAGCTCCTCCCGTGTAGTTTGGGGCTGGTCCCTCACCTTTCTCATGATCATCCTTACCCCATGAGGCGAGATCTTGCACAGAGCTCCAGACCGAGGCCGATTGATGGTTGTCCTGTATTTCTTCCATTTCCGAATAATCACACCAACAGTTGTCTCCTCCTCACCAAGCTTCTTGCTGATGGCCTTGTAGCCAATTCCAGCCTCGTGCAGATCTACAATCTTGTCTCTGACATCCTTTGAAAGCTCTTTGTTCTTGCCCATGGTTGTGGGAGAGGTTGGAATGGAAGATACAGATTGTGTGGACAGGTGTCTTTACACATTAGGAGTAACTTCTTAAAGTGGCAGGACAAATCTGTGTTCCACATGGACACATAACCAGTTAGTAGGAGCCAGAATTCTTGCTGGTTGGTAGGGGGATCAAATACTTATTTCACTCACTGAAATGCAAATCAATCTCTAACCTTTATATAATGTGTTTTTTCTTGATTTTTACAGACCCTTCATTGCTTTGTAAGTGGGCAAACTTACAAAATCAGCAGGGGATCAAATAAATATTTCCCCCACTGTATATTGTAATAAATCAATGAAAAAAATCAGAGGTCAGTAAAGGTGAAAATGTTAAAACAATGTAAAATAAAGTAACAGTGAAAATGAGAGGCAAATTAAAATGTTATAAAAATAGTGTAATGATAGCAATAATACAGTCAATGACTGAATAAGGCAAACCCCGAGCTCTCTTTTCATTAGTCAAAAATACTTCAAATGACAAAATACAAATTTTATTTAATATAAAATGACATTGAAACAAACAAGTGATTTTGATAAATTAACAGACAGCCGCAATAGTATTGTTTGTATTACAACATGTTGGTGTGTGTGTCTTCCTCTGGATTCCTCGTTCTAAAATGCTGTTTGTTTTGTTTCAGCGTGACACTTGTCAATCTTCCCCTCGTCTGTGGAACTGTACAGTAAACCAAGAATACAAAACACATCCAGATCATTCAGTGCAACATTCAAGATCTTGTCTGTAACGGCAAAATCAGGTTAGTAACGACGTAATGAATGTTAGTAATGAATGTTAGGAATTTTTATTTCTTTATCTCTTTAATAATAATTGTAAAAAACAACTTGTATTTAGTCTCTTTTGAGCAGAATGAGCTAAATAAAGCTGCGGCAGTATAATAAACATGCTTTTATGGATGTATGATTCACTCAACTAATGATGCGATACAATTCATTATACTGGTCTCACAATATGCTTTTCTCACCTTTTTTAACAAAATGAGATTTAAGACAAATTCTAAATGAAAAGGTGTCCATCGTTACATCCCTACCTGCTTTTGTTCCCCCTGCGTTTGTGAATACCACGGCTTAAGAGAACAACAAAGACAATGAACAGAAAACCAGCGACAGATCCCAGACCAATGAAAACACTGCTGAGAATATCATCACCAGACGAGCCTTCATCTGAAACACAAGAAAGATTCTTCAGACCGACAGATAGATAGATAGATAGATAGATGTGTATGAACAGATGTTCTCACTCTCTGTCTGTATGGAGGAGGTCAGCATGTGTCGTGTGGTGTTCAGGTGTCCGTCGTTGGGTTCAGGTGTGATTTTCAGCAGATGGCACATCAGCGGGTAAATGTTAACCGTTTCAAATGGCCTCACCTCCAGATTCTTTTGGAAATCCGGCCCCATGGCCCTGAAGAACGGCTTCATGTCCAGAGCCTGGTTATCATAGCCATGCTCCCCCTTATGAAACTGCACTGGGAAATACTACAGGAAAACAGAGTATAAAGGCACATGAACAAATGCATATTTATTGAAACCATCAGCACCCAAAATATACACTTTTACAGCAGGGTTATTACAGTAAACTAAAACTGAAACTAAAATTAAAACCATAAAAAAAAACATTTCTGTTACTTGAAATAAAATGAATGTGAACGGAAATCCAATTAAATATTTCATTTTAATGTATAGTTTAACTTGATGTACTAAAACTAAATCTAAAAAAAAAAAAAAAAAAAAAATAAAAAAAAAAAAAAAAAAAACTATAGACATAAAATAAACAAAAATGATTAAAAATAACAACAAAAAACACAGCTAAAGTACTAAAATGTTAACTGAAATTAAAATGGAAAATATAAAATGAAAAACTGATTCAAAATACTAATACAAAACTATAATAGTATCGCAATGATAATAAAAAAATAAACACTGCTTTACAGTGATAATTTTATGTTTGAAATGAAATGCTGTATTAATGACTATTATATGCATACTGCCTAGTTTAAAAATAGAATGTAAGCCAGCATGCTAAACTACATTTTAAATGGAAGAATATTTGTCACATTCATCAAGTGGCATTGAGTTATTTGCTTGGAAATAAATATGAGCATTTTCAGTCAAATTTATTGAAAGACGACTAACTTTTGAGAGTTCAGTCATCTAATGAGAAAAGAAAAATAAGTTCAGTTATTTACAAAACATCTGGTTCAAACATAACACTGGAAATGTTCTGCTGGATACTGAACATTTTGATTAAAGCAGAAGATCATCGTTATGTCATGCATATTTGCTCATTGCTTGCAGTATACTACAGACACCGAGAAGTATGGTGGATTGCTATTTGAAACAGCAGAGGGCGATGCAGATCAGCTGATTGGTTTTATGGTTATGGTCTGGCGTTGTCATGGCAACATGTGGCTTGTGGGTGCAGTTAACCTGTGAAGCCCCCAGATAGAGATGGTCAATAAAAGCAGCTGCTGAATCTTTCAGCTAAAGTATAAGTTTGATTTGGCTCTAGGTTCATGCTGTGGTTAATGAAACGTTTGGGATGCCAAGGTGTCTGACTTTGTTTGATTTTCTCATGGTTTGCAGCAGCAGTGTTCATAAAGGCTTGTTAGTATGCCACACTTGTAAAACTGACCTCTGACATCTGTAGGTCAAAAGGTCAACAGGAGCTCGAAGCGTCCATGCGCTTGACCTGACCTCTTGGGTCATCTTGGGAACAGAGTATTGATCGATTGATTGCCAGGAGTGTAAATTAAGATGAGTCAAGGGCAAAAAAACAACAACCAATTGATTTAGTTTGGTTTGAATGCTTGTGATTAGATTTAAATAATTAATGTTTTCATCCTCAAGGAGCAAACTTTTTGCATTTTCATGGATATAAGTTACAACAGAAAGGCTTTTCCATGTCCATGTCCATATATATATATATATATGGACATGTATATGTATATGTACAGTATGTAACATTTTTTTTTAATACAGTGTAAAATCTCTCAGTGGTTCTAAGTAGACTAAGTTTTTATTTAGGCAAATATACCTTCTTTATTTATTTTGATTGTTAGGATGATTTCTGACAGTTTTACTGAGATTCACTACTACTCAAAATATCAGATTAATATGTCATTAATATAATAAATATTTTTTGTACTTTATTTTCATGATGATTTAGCACAATTACCCCCAAATTCCCATTACAGTAATGCAAAATATATTTTGTATTTTATTTTCACTATTTTCATGGGGATTTAGTACCCCACATTCTTATTACTGTACAGCAATTTCATTCATTCATTCATTAATTTTATATTTTTTATTTAGAATTCATTTTGTAACTTTTTATCTAATATTTTCAGGGCAATTTACAACATTTAACCCCTAATTCTCATTACTGTAATGCAAATGTATTTATTTATTTACTTGTTTGTCTGTCTGTCTGCTTGCTTGTTTGCTTATGTTTAATTAAATAATGTTTAATTAATTAATGCTTGTTAATTTCTTGATGAACATGATGAAAACTTGCATTAAGCTGTAAATGAAAAGCTCACCCCATTGATGACGTATCCTGGATCGGCCCAGAGGATGATGGGTAATATGCGGTCATTATGGGAGTAATGCAGGCGAGCGGGAATCTCCTCTTTCTTATAGACATGTAGATGCGGGTGAGCGCCTTTCAGGGCTTTGAACACTTTATCAAGTCGTCCTTCTTTAGGCAGCAGGAGTCCCACCGGTCCGAAGTCCACGATATGAAAGTCCAGATCTTTGAAAGAGAAGCCGGGGATCTTGGACGGGACGATCTCGTCCACCAGCCCGTTGCGGTAGACGGTGCTCATGCCGTGATCGGCCGTGATGATGATGTTGGGCCGCTCGCTCAGGCCGTTTTTCTTGGCCGCGCTCCGCAGGTAACCAACCGTACGGTCCACCTGTCGGACCATCGCCCTGCGCTTGTCAGGGTCTGGCGTCTGGTGTTCTCCCTCTCTCCTCCAGAGGGCGCCAGCTCCCGGACTCCCATTCCCCAAACCCCATACACCTGTTCACTCATTACACTAATTCCCCAAACTCCACACACCGGTGCAGTCACTCACTCATCACACTCACCCTCAGCTGTGCCCCGTCTTCACTGACTATATAATTTCCTCTCACTCACCACTTGGCCTGTCTGTATTGTGTGTATGTAATGGTGTTCGTCGTCCCTAGACCTGTTTTTGTTTTGCCTTGTTGGCCTTTCTGTTTGGAATAAAAAGGTTTTCACCTGCATTTGGACCCAGACCCGGTTTTTCCACGGTACCCCTTACCGACTCGCTGACAGAATACAGCCAGCAGACATGGGTCCAGCAGGGAGGTTTCTTAACGTCCGCCAGGGAGACCGGAGCATTGAGGATTACGCCAGGGACTTCGTGGGAGGGGCTCGCCAGTCGGCCACGGAGAAAACCTGCCTCATGGTCTTTTTCTGGGGAGGCCTAGCCGAGCCCTTCAAGTCCCTGATGCCATACTGGGTCCCCGAGGAGTCGCTGGAGGACTATATCAACCTGGCCCTGCATTTGAGCGGCTCCGCCTTCAGGGTGGAGGTAGCTGCGGAGCCCGCTCACAGTCCTCCCGAAGCGGCAAACCACGGGGCGTCAGAGGCCTCGTCTGCCGCACCCAGTACCTCACGCCCGTTCCCGGTGCGTCCCGGGCTGACACGCAGCGTGCAGGAA